GGGTCTTGGAGATGTCTCATCCATAGGGTCGCCATGAATCGTGATCATCTCAAGAGCAGTTAAGAACAACAACAAAAAGGAGAAAAACCAGCAGATCCTGAGGCAGCTTTGATCTGGGAAGAAAAGGATTTGAAACCCTGATGTAATCGCTTTTTCTCTGACTGAGAATACTTACAGGTATATCCGGCATGAACAGAGCACTAGGGCAATGTTAGCTTATCTCGAAAAGATGCATAAATGTTACCTAGCATCTCTTGCTTTTGGATCAATTGGTTTGTGCTCAAATGCAGCCTAATCAAACAGTTCAAGATTATCTGGCATATATAAAATACCCTTCTGATGAACTAAAGCATTTTGAAGCTGTCAGTGAAAGGCTTATATTGCATGTATTTTTAGAGGAATTTCTCCAGGATTGAAGACATTGGCCTCAGTGTTTTAACAGACTGTGGTCTTCCTTGCTCTCGGTTCATTCTGCAACGCTAGTTCCAACCTATGTTGATCTCTTTATCCCAAACCTGACCTTTTCAACTCTGATCCTTCCATGAATCCACCACAGGACTGCTGAGCTGTTCATCCAAACCTTTCAGATGGGTACGCACAAAAGCATGCAAGGTGGCTGATCTCATTTCAATATGCTGATTTATTAATCGCTGCGATCTCACAACCCCACAGTGCCTTCTGCAGATAGCATAGCCGACTAAGGTCACCGCCATTCTCTGAGCACAGATAGTGCTTTGCCCAGATCAGCTGAATTTCCAATACAATAAGAATGGGGAAATCATGTCTCCTTCCAAATGTTTGGACTACTACTGCCATTATCCTTAACTATTGACTGCAATGACTAGGGCTTGGTGGAGCTGAAGGATACCAGCATTCCTGGGGCCCTTTCATACTACACAATGGGCCTTTGCAGACTGCTAGAAATAGTGCAAATTGAGTCCACTTTAACTGTTCTGTCTCAGTGCTAGGGAATCATGGGAACTGTATTTTTTTTTCTCAGACATTGAGCCTTCTCTGTCAGAGAGCTCTGGTGCCACAATAAACTACAGTTCCCATGATTCCCTAGCACTGAGTCAGGGCAGTTAAAGTAGACTCAATTTGCACTATTTCTGGCAGTCTGCAAAGGCCCAATGATTCCACTTCAACAGCTCTGGCGTGATCCTAAGGAATCTTGGGACTTGTAGTTTAGTGAGGCACTAGAACTCTCTGGCTGGGAATTTTATGTACCCCCCTCCTAATTTGCAAATCTCAGGATTCCTCCCTCCTCATCCTCCCTTTGAGCTATGGGTATATGTCAGACCACCTCAAAATAAAAGCAAATAAAATACGTCTTTACCATAGGAGTTACTCTGTTTAAAAATAGTAATAAACCCAATAATAAAGACAACTTCTTGCATAACAAGAAGAAAACAACAAGAAGCAAAGGAAATTAAAGAAACATCACAGGCTAGTTGTTCTGGACAGTCATTAATAGTTGCAGTTCCTCTGATTCCTTGAGTGCCTAGTTCTCCTTCTTCGTGGGACTGACCCAGCTTCTTGTCAAGATGAAACGGACATTCAGAAGGACCAAGGGTGCCTGGACTTCTCCGTGAAGCCTCCGGTCCTTTCCCCATTTCATCTGACTCCATGAAATAGTTTGGTCCAACTAGTTGGATAATCCAATCCCATTTTCTTGGCTTGTCTCAGTGGTAGGCATCTTCATACACATCTATGCGCAGGCAATAAAGGATGGCTGCCCCCAGCATGAAGATGACAGATCCCCAACCCAAACCATATCCCCAGCTGAATTCATGGTAGGTCCTCAGCTGGCTACTGTCGATAAATTTGATGGGGTAGAGAATTAAGGCACAGACCTGCAGGACCACTAGATCAGCAAAGAAAGAGAAAAAATCTGTTAAACTCAATGGGAACAGCAAAACCTCTTAAGAACAAATGTAAGGGGTGGGAGGGCTGTGTGATTTGGGATTGTATTTTAATATTGTATGAAGTTTTTAAATTGCTGTGAGCCTCCTCAATTGCTTGACAGAGGAACGGGATATAAATAAAATTTATTATTATTATTATTATTATTATTATTATTATTATTATTATTATTATTATTAATTGGTACAAGATTCTTATTGTGCAAAATAATACTGGTACATTAACAAGAGGCTTACTTGTTAACCACACAGAAACCTTGGTCCAAAACACATTGCAGCAATAACCCAGGTTGATACTGCTTTAACCACCCTAGCTCAGTCCTAGGGAATCCTAGGATCTGTAGTTTATTGTGGCACCAGAGCTCTCTGACAGGGAAGGCTAAATGTCTCACAGAACTACAGTTCCCATAATTCCCTAGCATTGAGTCAGGCCACTTAAAATGATCTCAGACTGGATTATTTCTGCAGTGTTTTGGACTTTTGTTGCACAAACAGTGCATAGGGACAATCGTTGGGTTCAACATCTGGAATCACACAGGTGCTCTACTTTTAGTGGAACGGATAAAACCTACTCAGCTTTTGGAGTACTGCAATATTGTTTCACACATTTTGATGTGTGTCCATGCATATAAAATTATGGGCTGACTGATTTTTTAAAATAGTTGGATCTCCTTCTCTCTGTTCCAACGGGATAGCACCAAAATTAAGTCACCACCAAGATAACCTGCTTTTTCTTAGTGCAGAAGAAGTCTGGGGGAAAGATTTGGGTGTTGCACTATAGTCTGGAAGATGTTCCTACATCGAGGCAACATAATCTCACATTTGTGAACCATTGGTGCTTAATTTGCACCAAATTAAATTACATGAACAGCAATATTCTACATGAATGTCTGGACATTCTGGAATTCGTATGTGGTGACATAGAAGTATTTTGCCAGCATAGGTCTTTTGCCAGCATGGTAGTGGTTTTAGTGTTGAACTACAACTCTGGAGGCCAGGGTTTGATTCCCAGCTTGGCTGTGAAAACTATTGGGTGACCTTGGGGAAGTCACTCTCTCTCAGCCTCAGAGTAAGGCAATGGCAAAACCTCTTATGAACAAATCTTGCTCCAAGAAAACCCCATGATCGATTCGCCTTAGAGTCGCTGTAAGTCAGAAATGACAAAGGCACACAACAGCAAATAGGTCTGTTTACAGATACTAGCAAATTGTTCATAAAGATTGTTCAGCTTTTGCTAGTAGTCCAATTGTATTGCACAAAACGAGAGAAATCAAAAAGCTCTACCAATAGGCTCATCCAGACAGACCAAAAGTCCTGGGATTTAGTGGTCTTTCCATGTCTCAGTTGCCTGTCCTATAACATATAAGATGTTATACAGAAGATATATAACTTATGTAAATGTTGCCGTGGAACTTTGTCCTCTTTTTCTTTTCCTCCCTAGTGTGTGTTGTGTGTGGGGTTTCTTCTCGAGACAGACACTGAAGGATGGAAGGTTGGAGGAGAACCTGCATGTCAATGTCTCCCTTTGTCTCCCTCTGAGGCTGAGAGAGTATGACTTGCCCAAGGTCACCCAGTGGATTTCCATAGCCAAGTGGGGATTTGAACCCTAATCTTCAGAGTTGTAGTCCGACAACGTTCAAACCACTAAACCATTCTGGCTCACAAATAAGAGTGCCTCAACATGTTTCAGCAGACTTTTTTATTTGAAGCTTGACAATATGCACATGTGAAATAAAATAGTTCAGGTAAGTAAACAGAAAAAAATTTGAACATTCTACAGATCACTTGAAAACTCCTTCCAAAATGCATCTAGAGATGACTTTTTCTTTCACCAGCCTTCACTTAGGATTTCAGTGTTTGTGGTCAGACTTACTAATCTATGATTTTTTAATATGCTGGGAATATGCTCCCCTTTGCTCTGTGTTTTGTTGGTAAAGCACACTCTGCAAGAAATTCAGAGCTACTTGCTGTTTACTTTGCCTGTTGCAGGCAGACATACACAGCTACAGTTACACCAGCTAGAGAATAATCCCATTATATCCCAACTCAAGCTTGATTGAATAGTTTACTGCAGACATGCTGAAGCAATTCAACTCTGAAGGTTTGGGTTTCTCCAGCCCTTCTTCTACATCTGCCCAATGTCAATGCTACTTTTTAAAAAATACACCTTTTAGCTAAACTGGAAAGGGCATACTGGCAGACATAACAAGAAACGTCTTTGTCAAAGGCTTTATTAACTGAGGTATGGTTGTACATAAGATTGCCATGGACAACTGAGACGAATGCTAAGGATATGAATTTCACATGGAGTGTTTTCCATCTCTTCTTTGGAACATTTGGAACTTTTTAATTTGTATTTTACTGATCATTTGATCATATTTCCTCTATATGTTTTTGTTGGTATTGTTTGTAGTCATCACCTAATTTTGTCCCTGTTAGCTAACATTTAATGATATTTATGGTCGCAAAGAGAAGAAAGAGGAGATACATACCTGCTGTAAAAAGGAGAACAGCAACAACCCGGTAATATTGCTTGTAGGTACCCAAGCAGAAGGAAATTAGAGACATGAAGAATGACAGCAGAGTGATGGTGGCTGCAGTCAGGATTAAAACCAGAGTAGCTGTTTGCCAGTCTGGGGGTAGGGAGGTGGAGGGATGAAAGCAGAAAAGCAAATGTTTGTGAGAAGGAATCTCAGGGCATGGTCAACATTGAAGCATATCCAACAACCAAGAAATCTAGAGATACAAGATTAAAATTCTGGCTGATCCTGAATGCATATAACCTATCACACTCATTTGGCTTTGAACCCACTGGATGGCCTATTGGGCAAGGCACACACTCTCAGCACTAGAAAACCCCATGATAGGGTTGCCTTGGAGTTGACAACTGGGGAATCCTAAAGAGAGAGCCAGTGGACTGGGACCTTCCTATTTGAGGATTCCAACAAGATAAAACATTTTCTCCTAAAAGTGGGACTTCACTGGCATGTTTTAGCTCAACACCACCTAAAGTTTTCCTGATGCAAACACATGAAGACTTCTTGAGAAATTCAGTGTCCTCACAAAGGATGGAGACATAATGGATTGCAAAGGAAGTATCTTTTTGCATTGCAAATGGATGTTAAATTTCCTGGACTTTGAGAATCTTCCATTTTTGCCAGAAAGAGGAGGTGCCTGTCTGTAAGAGATACCCCTCCCTACCACCTAAGAACAAAAACAGCAAAATGCAGATGTATGACTAACATCTTCCATTTTTTCTCTCCTGTTTGGTTTGCAACACCTTGCCTGATGAAGAAGCCAGTGGAGCTTCAAAAGCTTGCAGCATATATATTGTGCATTTTGGTTGTTCCAATAAAGGTATCACTGTTTTGGTGGATTTTTGATGTTATTGGAATTACATTCAGGGATATATGGGAATTACTATTTATTAGTAACATTAGTACAAAAAAAATATTACTAAGGATGCCCCCAATGTCCACACTTTCTTCAAGTTTATTCTTACTGTCCATATGATAATCTTCTGTGTACAAGTTAGGACCTTATCACAAGGAGGCAAATTGCTTAAATCCCATGCAGAAATGGGATTTAAAAATCTAAAAAAAAAAAAACCTGCAAAAGCGGGTTGTTTTTCAGATATATTTGTATAAAGGAGAAATAATGCAACATTAACCCAAACTGAAAGTCACCGAAACCCACTCCTTTTTACTTTCAGAAGTCCCCGAAAGTAAAAAGGAGCGGGTTTTGTCGGCTTCCTGTTTGGGTTATTTTCGTGTTATTTCTCTTTCACGCAAATGTCGTCTGAAAACCAACCTGCAATTGCAGGTTTTGTCTACTTTCTGTTTGGGTTAACGCTGAACATTGTGTGAAAAACAACCCTTGTAAACTGGAAGCCATTCTCTTTCTCCATATTCTGTCCTAAACAGTGGCCTCTTGTCCACAGTACAGGTTACTGGCATATTTGTTGTTGCTGTTGTTGTTGTAAAGTAAACCTATCATGGGGTTTTCTTGGCAAGATTTGTTCAGAGGAGGTTTGCCATTGCCAATCTCTGAGAGCATGTGACTTGTCCAATACTCAGAATAAATGTCAAGACAATGAAGACAGAGAATGAGAGGAGAGTTAACATAACAGCGTTGCAAGCGGATGCAGAGAGTGGGCTGGGAGTTTTTCCAACAAATCCCACAAATACACCCCAAGTGAAGCATCTGGAACCACGAGCCCTTTCTCTATTTTTCCGTTTTGTGAAAACAAAAGGCCTCATTTCCAGCTTCTCTCCATCAGCAGTTCATGTCAGAGTCAGAAGACTCAGAGAGGAAAAGTTCAGGGCAAGGTTGGCAGGGACCGCTGTGGCATCAGGTCCAGCGGCCAATTTTTGGTTCCCAGGATCCTCCATAGTCCATACACTGCTGAAAATGGCCCCCAAAACTGTGGATGGGTGCATGTGTGTGAGGGGGGAATGGAGGTGGAAGAGCATACAAATTATACATACACACACACACACAGTGCACATACACACATGAATACAAACATTGCCCAGTGTACATCCTGGGACAAAGGCAGCATACAAATTATGTGTACTGTGTGTGTGTAATTTGTATGCTGCCTTTGTCCCACACAGTACACACACACACACACACACACACAACCATTGCTCAATGTACAGTAATTGTAACTGTCTTTATCTGTTCTCTGCTGCCTTAGATCACTCCTGGGAGAAAGGCAGCACACAAATTTTATATATAATGTATCTCTCTCTCTCTCTCTCTCTCTCTCTCTCTCTCTCTCTCTC